TATGTTGGCAAATTGAACACCAATAAAAATAAATTTATTATTAAAAAAAGTAAAATAAAATAAAATTTCTTTTAAGTATCATGGGAAAAAAAAAGACCCCATCAAAAAGGAGAATTACAGATGAATATGCCCAATGAACATGGATGCAAAAATTCTCAGCAACATACTAGCTAATGGCATCCAACACTACTTTAAAAGGATTACTCACCATGATCCAGTGGGATTTATTCCTGGGCTGCAGGGGTGGTTCAACATCCATATATCAATCAGTGTGATATACCACATTAAAGAAGAAATGATAAGAACCACATGATCCTCTTGAAAGTTGCAGAAAAAGCATTTGATAAAATATAGCATCCTTTCTTGATTGAAAAAAACCCTCAAAAAAGTAGGGATAGAAGGAACATACCTCAACATCATAAAGGCCTATACAAAAGACCCACAGCTAATATCATCCTCAATAGGGAAAAACTGACAGCTTTTCCCCCAAGGTCAGGAATATGACAGGGAGGTACACACCACTGTTGTTCAGCATAATGCTAAAAGTCCTAGCCTCACCAATCAGATAAGAAGAAGAAATAAAAGGAATCCAGACCAGCAAGAAAGAAGTCAAACTTATACTCTTCCTAGATGGCATGATATTCTATGTAGAAAACCCAAATACTCCACCAAAAAATTGCCAGAACTGATACATGAATTCAGCAAAGTTGCAGGATATAAAATCAATGCGCAGGGATCCCTGGGTGGCGCAGCGGTTTGGCGCCTGCCTTTGGCCCAGGGCGCGATCCTGGAGACCCGGGATCGAATCCCACGTCGGGCTCTCGGTGCATGGAGCCTGCTTCTCCCTCTGCCTGTGTCTCTGCCTCTCTCTTTCTCTCTCTCTCTCTCTCTCTCTCTCTCTGTGACTATCATAAATAAATAAAAAAAATTTAAAATATATGACATAATTTTTTAAAAAATAAAAAAATAAAATCAATGCACAGAAGTCTGTTGCATTTCTATACACCAATGATAAAGAAGCAGAAAGAACCTAGGTGGCACAGTTGATTAAGTGACCAACTCTTGGTTTTGGATAGGGTCATAATCTCGGGGTCATGAGGTTAACCCCTACATTGGGCTCTGAACTCAGCCTGGAGTCTGCTTGAGTCTTTCCCTCTACTTTTCCCTCCCCACTCTCTCACTCTCATTCCCTCTCTCTCTAAAATAAATAAATAAATAAAATCTTAAAAAAAAATTTTAGTTGAGGAAATTGAAACAATGGAGCGACTTTAATAAAGATTTCATTCATTCACAGAACAATTTTTTTTGAGAGAGAGTGGTGAGATAGGGGCAGGGAGGGGTAGAGAGAGAATCTTAAGCGGGTTCCATGCCCAGCATGAAGCCCTTGAAGGGCTCCTTCTCGGAACCCTGAGATCATGATCTGAGCCAAAATCAAGAGTTGGATACCTAAGTGACTGAACCACCCAGGGGCCTTAAAGAACAAATGTATTTTTAAATACTAAGGCAGAGACTGCTGTTGCCTACCTAACATCCCTTCTTTCCTCTTCATAATAGAACCACTATATTATTGGAGTAGTAATATGTACAGTTTTAATAAACATTTCAAACCTCCCTTTTACAATAATATCTAATATGAGTGGAAGTCCTTGTATAGGGAACTATGTAAGTTTCATGACATATTTTCTTAGGCTTCTAGCTTATGAAAAATGTAAATCCTAAACCAGGTATAGCAGAAATGGCCATCTTTCATGTCACTTTACATCATGCCATAATTACTTACTTTGATGTCTCTCTTCCCTAAAATGTGTAAACTCTATCATGACAGGGGCTGTGTCTGTCTTGTTTAATATTGGATGCTGGAAGAGGCACAGAATAAATCTTTGCTTCATGAATGAATGAATGAATGAAACAACGACTGTCTGAACTTTGTATTGATAAGGATTCTGAGTTAGTATTATACTGAGGGGAAATAATATCATTGTCAATTTGTTATGAATGTCATAGGCATGCCATAGGAGAGGGGATACACACCTGACAGACATGTGTCATTTTCATTAAAGCTTTATCTTATAAACAAAAAATAAATAAAAAATAAAGAAGCAGAAAGATAAATCAAGGAATTGATCCCATTTATAATTGCCTCCAAATCCATAAGATCTCTAGGAATAAATATAACCAAAGAAGTAAAAGATCTATCAAAATCCTAGAGAACGCAGGCAGCAACCTCTTTGACCCTGGCCTCTGCAACTTACTAGACGCATCTCCAGAGGCAAGGGAAACAAAAGCAAAAATGAACTATTGGGACTTCATGAAGATAAAAAGCTTCTCTGTGGCAAAGGAAACAGTCCACAAAACTAAAAGGCAACCTACAGAATGGGATAAGATATTTGATGACTTATCAGATAAAGAGCTAGTCCAAAACCTATAAAGAACTTATCAAACTCAACACCCAAAAAACAAATAATCCAGTCAAGAAATGGGCAAAAGACATGAACAGACATTTCTCCAAAGATATACAAATGGCCAAAAGTCGCATGGAAAAATGCTCCACATTACTCAGCATCAGGTAAATATAAATCAAAACCACAATGAGATACCACATTGGTCAAAATGGCTAAAATTAACTCAGAAAATAACAGATGTTGGCATAGATGCAAAGAAAAGGGGAACCTTGCACAGTTTGCAGGAATGCAAGGAAACTGGTACAGTCACTCTGGAAAACAGTGTGAAGGTTCCTTAAAAATTTAAAAATAGAACTACCCTATGACCCAACAATTGCACTACTACATATTTACCCAAAAGACAGAAAAATAGTGATTCCAAGGGGTACATGCACCCCAATGTTTATAGGAGTAATGTCCACAATAGCCAAACTATGGAAAGAACCCAGATGTCCACCAACAGATGAATGGATAAAGAAGATGAGATATATACATACAACAAATATCACTCAACAATCAAAAGGAATGATATCTTGCCATTTGCAAACACGTGGATGGAACTAGAGTGTATTACGCTAAGTAAAAGAAGTCGGTCAAAGAAAGACAAGTATCATATGATTTCACTCATATGTGAAATTTAAGAAACAAAATAGATGAACATAGGGGAAGGGAAGGAAAAATAAAATAAGACAAAAACAGAGACGGAGATAACCTGTAAGAGACTCTGAACTATAGGGAACAAACTGAGGGTTGCCGGAGGGGAGAGAATGGGGTGAATAGAGTAACTAGGTGATTGGCATAAAAGAGGGCATGTGATGTAATGAACACTGTTACATTCCAATGATGAATCATTAAATATTCCCACTGAAGCTAATAATATAAGTTAACTAACTTGAATTTAAATAAAATCTAAAAAAAAAATTTTACTTGATGTGCACAAGTGATTCACCTACAGATATTTCTTCTCTTCCATCCAATGTATTTGCAATTCCATTAACAGATATTTCTGATGTTACATATATAACAGAATTCACAATAGGCTGGTTTGACTTAAAAATAAGAAACCTCTTATAGAGACCTAACTCCAGACAGTTATATCAGAGACAGAGACATACAAAAAGAAGCCCAATTCAGAAGTGTTAATAATGTCACCTATGCAACTTTCTCCTGCTTTGGAATGTGTCTGGAAGCTCATCTACTCCAAAAAAAAAATTTCCTATTTTAAACCTGTATATGTTACTGGGCTAGTCTTAATCAACTAAAATCATTATTACAACCTCTGTATTAAAATTGAAAGAATAAAGTTTACGATTTTTAATTGCTTACAGGAAAAACTCACCCATTTTGTTTTATAATGTTTGCAGTACAATTCACATGCCTTTCCCCTTGAGCTTAGCTGGAGCCTTATAAGGTTTGGTAGATTTGAGTCAGCTCCAAAGACAGCATATTCTCCATCCACATCCCACATCCATCTTAACTTGTGGAAGGATGAAATGGTCCTCATGTTCATACTGTTAAAAATAGAACCCAAGTTGGCATTCTAACACAATTCTTTCTGTATAATGTTTGTTGTTTTTACCTTTTCCCCTCACTGTATCTCAAGGACATGAACTTCCCGTTTTTCAGGGCACCTTGATGTCTGCCTACATAGCCTCATCCCTCCACCTCCCCTAACAGTCAGCATGGTAAACCCTTGCAATCACTGACTTACAGTCAGTCCTTTCCCATCAGAGTGTGAGCTCCATAGGGCAGGGCTGTTTCCTCTTCCACTGCTTAATTCCTCAGCACCAGGCAGATAAGGGCTGCTCAACAAATTATTTTAAAAAAATCCAAAAGCTAATCACTTTTTAAAAATCTATCATGGGATCCCTGGGTGGCGCAGCGGTTTGGCGCCTGCCTTTGGCCAAGGGCGCGATCCTGGAGACCCGGGATCGAATCCCACATCGGGCTCCCGGTGCATGGAGCCTGCTTCTCCCTCTGCCTATGTCTCTGCCTCTCTCTCTCTCTCTCTCTGTGTGTGTGTGTAACTATCATAAATTTAAAAAAAAAAATCTATCATGCTGTAAGTCAGGATGATGGTTACCTTGGGGGAAGGAAGGAGGGTAGTGACTGGGATGGGGCAGGAAGGGGACTTCAGGACTGCTATCATGTGCTATCCACTGGGTTACTTGAGCATGTTCACCAGCGGATCATTTATTGGGCTATACACTAGTAATTAGTGCACTTTCTGAATATGCTACACTTCAGCAAAAAAAAAAAAAGTTTAAGTCTATCATTATCTGATGAAGAAGGAAATGACAAGCATTCAGAAATTGCCATTAAAAATAATTAACAGGGGTGCCTGGCTGTCTCAGTTGTAGAGCATGCAACTCTTGGATCTCGGAGTCATGAGTTCAAGCCACACATTGGGCACAGAGCCTACTTCAAAAATAATAATAATTAACAGATAATTGTTTCTGAACATGTAAAGTGAAACTTTAAGAACCAAAATGTTCATTTATGTCAGAAAATGCACTCAACCATGGAAACTAATCAGATGTTTACTGCACCAGCACAATGGGGAACATTCATTGAGATGATGTACATAAGAGTGCTTAAGACAGTGCTAGATACACAGAGCTGTACATTCACTATTACACATTTTAACACATCAGAAGCATTTCCAGATGAAAGCTTCACCTTAGATCACATCAAATTTCCTTCATTAGAATCCAAGGTCTGTTTAGCCCTTAACTCTTTGAAAATAGTTATGGAGTCCACATCACCACTTGGCTTGAGTCATGCCTGAGGAATTAAGGACTCCTCGGCTAAGAATCATGGAACATCTGCACTGAGAGAGCACAAAGACCCTCTAGTCCAGTGATTCTCCAGTATGCACATCACTGGTGCATTTGTTCAAGTGTTCACCTCAGATTCAGATTCACTTAGTATGAGAGTACCACCCAGAATTTGCATTTTTTAACCAACTCTTCAAGTGATTCGGAAGGTGGTCTAAAAGAAACAATGAACCTCTTGTTTTATAGATGAGCAAAATAGAGGCCAGGGAAGGAAGGGACCTGCTCATAGTCTTCTTACTGGTTAGTGAGTATTCAAGGACTAGAATGAAGATTTTACCACTCCAAATAATACTATTTCCATGAATCCATGCCACAGTAACTTAGGACCCAGAATGAATCTGTCCTAAGCCTTAGTGGTTTATTCCACTGAGCCCTTTGTCTTCTCAACCACGCCACAGGTTAACCGGAGCACAAAAACCCACCTGTATATTCATTGGGTAGACAGAACCAGGTACTTTAGAAACCTACTGTAAATCATTGCTCCAGGGCAGCCCAGGTGGCTCAGCAGTTTACTGCTGCCTTCAGCCCAGGGTGTGATCCTGGAGACTCAGGATTGAGTCCCATGGCGGGCCCCTGCATGGACCCTGCTTGTGTCTCTGCCTCTCTCTCCTGTGTATTCTCATGAATAAGTAAAATCTTTTTAAAAAAATCATCACTCCAATATTTTTATACTCTGTGTAACACTGAAATAGTTATTTGAATTCTGTGTGCTTTAGTTTCTTCCTTTATAAAGTGACAAAATAATACCTTTGGTTTGCAGGATACTATGAAGAGTTATGAAAAATACTAGCACAGAGCTTGGCAAATAATGAGGTTCCAGTAAATAGTAGTAATCATTAATGCCATCTTAAAACATGGCACTATAACCACATTCTTCAGACTAGAGGAGTATTCTCAAGTGCGGTTCCATATAAACAAAATCATCCAGAAGTCTTTGTTTTTTTTTTTTAAATATAGACTTCTGAAACTCACCCCTCACAAGACCTCATGAATCAGTCATGTGGGAGAGACCCAGAAGACTGGAATAATAAGCAAGTACCCCACGGTCCTCCTATGTATACCAAAGTTTGAGTAGCATCGGACTAGGGGTGTGGACCAAGGGCTTCTTGTCAGTGAAAACACTTGTATCAATGAGAGCCAGGTAGTGCTGAACACTCAAACTTAATACTAACAATTTTCTGTTAATAAGAGGTAAATGAGTGCCACCTACTGCCTTATTTTAGAATGCAATGCTCAGACTGGTTCAATTCTTCTCTAGGTAATTGAATTTACTCTGAAAAATGAATCAATCCTCAACAAGATAACCAAGCAATAGAAAGCATTGTTGGAAGGAGACATGAAAACAGTCTTTATTTAACTAGAAGAAAACTTTCTCAGTTAGAGGGTTCTTGGAGTTCTAGATTAATGTATCTAATAAACTTCTGTAATTTCAAGTCACTGCTAAAGCAGTAAAGGAAAATATAATGTCTTGCCCACCGGGCTATGCCAACAGTGAAAGTAGAAACAGAACTACAGAATGCCCTAAAATACATGTAGCTATGCTCTCCTCCACCACCTCCTCCCCAGTCCCGAGAAGATCAAGTAAAACAAGAACTTATTCTGTATAAGAATAAGTGTTATTCTGTATAACTTATTCTGTATTTCTTATTCTGTAACATTCTACTCAAGTCCAGTATCAAAACTGCCACCTGCTTTTGGAAAGTTAACATTCCCTTCCAAAGGTATTCAAAAAAGCCTTCTGAATTGTAGTGCTACTGTTTAAAGCTGATTTCCCCTTCCAAGTTGCAAATGCACAAATATACCCAGAGGCTCAAAAAAGATGGGCAAAGCCTTATACATATTCATATAAAACGAGCAATTATACTTCATGTTGCAATAAAAAGCATTTATCTTTAATCTGTTTGTTTTTAAGAAATAAATGGCAAAATATATACACTGTAGAGTCTGAATTCCCCATCACAGAGTGTGAATAATGGTCCGGTTGCGGAGCTCCTGAATATACTCTTTGGCATGGGTGACTGCTGTCTTCGGTGCCTCAGGTGGAGGCGGGGGGCCTTCCACCAACTTCACAAAGTAATGGCAATAAACCTTCTCCATGATCCCAAAGCGTCCTCTGCCATGGTATCGGATGCGTTTCAGGTACTGGCCTCGCCCTGAAGTCGATTCAGCTAGACAGGGAAGACAAAGAGAGTTATAGGAAATGATTACATCCACAAGACTATAGCTCAATCACCTGGGCAATTTTTGTCCTTTCCTTAACTGCATTCTAAGGCCACATGAGTTCATTTGGTGGTGTGAGGAGATTTGTCTCAAAATAGGTATCTCTTGAGTACTTATTAAGGACCTCTATCCTAGGTGTTGGATAAGAGTGAACAAGACTAGCAAGGGCCCTGCCTTCATGCAGCATTCTAGAGGAGAAAGAAAGTAAACATGATCATTCCAGTTAGTGACAAGTACAATGAATAAAAACAGTGATGTGACAGAGACTGATGGGGGTGCTGGGGGCAACTTCAGACTGGACGGTGTCAAGAGGCATCATTGAGGAAGAGATATTTGATCCAAGACCAGAATGAATCATCTATGCAAATATCTAGGGGCACGGTACTCCAAGCAGAGGCAAAAGCAAGTGCAAAGACCCAATGGTGGGAATGTGCTTGGCTTGTTTTATTTTTTATTTAAATTCAACTTAACATATACTGTTATCACTGGTTTCAGAGGTAGAATTTAGTGATTCATCAGTTGCATATAACACCCAGTGCTCATTACATCACATGCCCTCCTTAATGCCCATCCCCTAGTTACCCCATCTCCTACTAACCTCCCCTCCAATGACCCTCAGCTTGCTCTCTAGAGTTAAGAGTCTCTGGACTGTTACCCTCCCTGTTTTCATCTTATTTTTCCTTCTCTTCCCCTATGTTCATCTGTTTTGTTTCTTAAATTACACATGAGTGAAATCATATGGGATTAATCTTTCTCTGATTTATTTTGTGTAGCATGATACACTCTAGTTCCATTATGTCATTGCAAATAGTAAGATTTCAACTTTTTGATGGCTGATTAATATGTGTAATGTGTGTATGTGTGTGTGTACACCACATCTTCTTTATCCATTTATCTATCAATGGACATCTGGGCTTTTTCTATATTTTGGCTATTGTGGACATTGCTCCTATAAACAATGGGGTACATGTGCCCCTTCGGACCATTACATTCGTAACTTTGCGGTAAACACCTAATAGTGCATTCTTAGGTCATAGGGCAGTTCTATTTTCAACTTTTCAACCTCCATACTGCTTTCCAGAGTGGCTGCACCACCTTACATTCCCATGAAGAGTGTAAGAGGGTTCCCCTTTCTCTGCATCCTCACCATCTGTTGTTTCCTGACTTGTTAATTTTAGCCATTCTGATCAGTGTGCTGGCTTGTTTTAGAAACAGAAAAAAGATCAGCCTGCTGAAGCACAGTAAACAAGGCAAAAAGTAGTACAAACAGGGAAGAAGACCAGTGGTGAAGGCACTGTTACTGAGAGCCCTGAAGGCCGAAGTAAAGAATTTTCATTTCATTCTGTGGTGAGAAGCCCCTGGAACCAAAGATTCCTAAATGCTGGTCCTCTGGCTACATCAGACTAACCCACGGAACATATTTTAAATGCAGATGCCAAGACTCCATCTCTGGAGATTCTAATTTACTATATTTGGGGTGGGTCTTGGAAATTACATTCTGAACCAACACCAATCCCCCTCCCCCAGTAATTCTGTTTTGTGGTCAATTTTAGGAACTCCCACATCACAAGAGCTCCCTCATCTCCCCTCCCTAATTTTTTGCATGTCAATGTCTGACTTTGTAAATTTAAAGAAATTTTTCAAATACTAGTTAAGAAGAAATCTGTTCACCAGTTTTACCCACAGTAAATCAAAGGAGTAACCACTTTCTACTATTTTCTGAATTTTAGTCAGTTACTCCTTGAGTTAATTTAATAAGCCCTTTAAAAAACCAAAACCTTGGGACACCTGGGTAGCTCAGTGGTTGAGCACCTCCATTCAGCCCAGCATGTGATCCTGGAGTCCTGGGATTGAGTCCCACATCGGGCTCCCTACACAGAGCCTGCTTCTCTATGTCTCTGCCTCTCTCTTTCATGAATAAAATCTTTTAAAAAATTAAATTAAATTTAAATAAATAAATAAAAAGCCAAAATCTGTGGGTGGGGGATGGGGTAACTGGTTGATGGGAAATGAGGAGGGCAATTGATGGGATAAGCACTGGGTGTTTGTTATACTATATGTTGGCAAATTGAATTTAAATTTTAAAAAATGTAAAAAAATAAATAATTTTTTTAAAAAGCCAAAACCTAAGAAGACATATCAAATTAATCCACTTCAATACTCACCCTTCTTACTGCATTCTTACTGTGACATAACTTTATAAATATAAGGACTGCATCAAAGTATACCGCTGACAACCCTCTAACTACAGTCCTCTCATGAAATGAGTTTCAGCATAAACATCCTAGCTTGGCCAGAGAGAAAGTGAAGGATGAAAGTGATTAAGAAAACTGCCTAGGGCCTCCGGGAGATAAGGAAAGAACTACTGTCCTTATACCAACTTCATCACTGGGCACTAAAGAAATGTGTTTAAGATTTCCAAAGAGAAAGCCAAATTACACAAATCACTTTAGAATGAAGTACCACTAATTCCTCTAGATCCATCTGTCAGGAGGAAACCTACAAATAAACACAATGACACTAGGAAAAGTGGAGAAATCTTCTAAAAGGCATTTTACAAACACAGTGGCTGCTTCTATCCAAAACTGCAACTCTATTCCACTTGAGCACCCATTTCCAAATACTTTGAGGAAAAGGAAAACTACTCCAGTGAAAACAGTATCTGAATTAGCTAACTATGCAGTACTACATAACCTATCCAAGCACAATGATCTGCCTCTCAGGGTCAATGTTAACTACCATTTTCCATCTCCCCCAAACATGTAAGAGCAAATGTCAATATCTTCCAAATGCTAGTCATGATTTCATCCTAAAGCCATAAAATACCATCTGCCTATCTTGTGGCAGGCACATAATACCACATTTTTTATATCAAAACAAAAACATTAATTCTTCTAAAACACCAGAATTCTTTAAAACACTGTAATGGGAATATGCAACATAGCCAATATGAGGTTTGAATGAAATCAGGACCTAGAGGATTATAGATTCCAAACTGGTTTCTGGTCTCTCCTCCTCAGTCTCTCACACTAATTCTGTATGTTAGGGATTTTAACTGCTTTTGTATAGAATCATCTGTTCTAATTGAAATACGAGTAGGGAGAGATCCAAAACTGTCCCATTCATTCACTCACAAACTATATCTGAGTTCCTGTGAGGTGCCAGGCTCCATCCTGGGCTCCAAGGCTGCAGCAGTGACCCAGATATCAAGGAGCTCTTCTGTTTGCCCTATGCCTCACCCTTGGAGACCCCACAGCACAATCTCAAAACCATTGCTTTATAGTTAATAGTCTTAAAACACTGCCTTAATAACATAAATCTCTTACCCCAAAACTTCCTGTGGTTCCTCTTCAATATGAAAACCAAATTCCACAGCCCGTCCTGTTCAGCCCTCTGGATCTAGGCCCAATCCACCCTTTCAGTTTTATCTGCTCAAGGTCAAATCTCTGCTTCCTTCAACTATTTCACTCACTGGACCACACAATCACTGCTCATTCCGACCTATGTGCCTTAGCTCATGTGGTTATTCCACTCTGAAAACCTTTCTTCCTAGACACTCTTTTGGATACCCAGACACCTATCTTCAAAAGCCAAATTTTTCTAGAAAAATTACATGACTTTTCTAACCAATACTAACATCCTCTTCTCTACTCCTATTTACACATATTACTCTTTTTGGTCCCAAACCATATACTATCTTGTATAAGTGTTCACGTTTAATCTGTAAAAGTCATTTCCTCAACCAATTAGATCTTTTGTATTGCCCCCAAAGTTTACGTTCAACAAGGAACAGAAATGATTTTGAAATACAACCTCTACTAATTAATATCATTTTCTTCCAATATAGCTACCTGGTAAATTTGCTCAAATTCTAAAATAAGTTTCAAAGTTTTCCACGTACATACAGTATTCATAATGAATATGGTTTGTTCCAACTCAGAAAAAGCAGTTTACGTATATTTCTAAAGGACTACTGCTGTCAAAGAACAAAACTATATGTGCTAAATGTTTTACATGGCTTTAATAAGGTATACCATCCCTAACTACGTGGGCAGTATGCACATGGAAGGTACTCAAATACTTTCTGAATCAAAGAAAAAACATTAAGCTATCTCAAAAATGAGAACAGTGTAAAGTATGCCCAAGATGGTGCTCATCTAAAGATGATACCCAACAGGTATGAAGAATATTAAAAATATTGTCAATATTTCCTATTACTGGTATTTAGGGAAATGTGAATCCTGATATTTTAAAATTGGAAACCCTCTTCCCTCTTCATCACTCTTAGCCCAGAAGACTGATTTACAAAGTCAGTCAATCACATTCTCTAAAGTGAATCACTTTAGATGCCATGAATCACTAAGCAGTGACATTTTATTAGTCCATGTCCACTTGTTAAGGTCTATTCACAGTGCCATTAGTCATTATTATAAGTTTGAAGAGGAAATGAATTTTCAAAATCTGTGGTCATGCAACACCAGGTATTAGCTTTAGACTGATGACAGGCATTTGAAGGAATTACCATATAATGAGAACATATGCTACCAAAAAAGTACTTCCCTTGAAATGCCCATACTTATGTAAGAGACTGAGGAGCCACTGCTGGGCCAAAATCGTAGCCAACACGTGACTAGTCTTTCAAAACTCGAAAAGACATTTATCTATGGAGTGAAATGTCTAGTCTAGGTCTTTTCCATGAATACAAGGAGGAAAAGGAGTTTCTCATATTTTATAGGTAAGAATCACTGGGATATTTATTAAACAGCTCCCCAGGCCTCTCCCTTGAGATTTCAGATCCAGTGGGTCTGTGGTGGGTCCTGGGAATCTGTATTTTTAATAATCTCAAATGATTATCAGGAAACTTTGGTTTTGGTTTTTTTTTAAGATTTTATTTATTTATTCATGAGAAACACAGAGAGAGAGGCAGAAACACAGGCAGAGAGAGAAGCAGGCTCCATGCAGGGAGCCTGATGTGGGACTCGATCCCGGGACCACAGGATCAGGCCCTGGGCAGAAAACAGACGCTCAACCATTGAGCCATCCAGGCACCCCGTATCAGGGAACTTTGGCAAATACAGGGATAAATGTCTGACATGTGATGGTAAGATACTTCATCTTCCTGAGGGTACTCATCTTTTTTTTACTCTTCATAAAAGAATTTGGCAGCAAAATATTTAGCAAATGAGCTTTTATAATCATAAGACAAATCCAAACTTATTAGCCCTACTCAAGAAAAGAGATTTTTACACAGAACTGATGAAAAAAGGGTGCAGGTGCAGTAGAGATTTTTCAGCAGAAATGTGCATAAGGATTGGTTAATTTTATTTTTGCTTAATGGCAACACTGGACTTTGCTCCTTCATTTGAGAAGACAGGATTAAGCTCCTCACCCGTTCTCACTTTACTAAAATTACTGAAAAGGATTTAAAGACAAATTCTATTTCATTTGTATCTGAATTCCATTACAAAGTTTTGTCTGTCAGCTAAGAAGATCCTATTCTTATGAAAATGAATAAAATTAATTAAATTGGATTTGATATTCAGTCTTAAAAAAGGAAAGGTCACCAAGAGGTTTTAAGCAAATGGTCTTGCTCTTCATCCACTTCATCCCTTCCAATGATTCTGGGCCCTCCCAGCATTATTTATTCATACTTCTCTCAGAAGAAAAAGCTTATGAGTAACTACTATGGCCCTGCATCTTCTGAGATACCATTTTGATTTCTCTCTGCATCTATGCATGTATCAGAATATAATAAGTTATACAAGATTCAGCTTTAAAATAAGATATTTCAATTGAAAATCATAACTCATTTGAATTTCAGGAGTAGGTGTGGCTGCCAGCATCAATTCCAGGTGAGCTGAGGTAGGATTTTAACTTAACCAGAATAAGTATCTCCAGTTAGGACTGAAGTGACATGATAAAGTAGAATTTGGATGATTTGTTTTTACTCTAATTGTTGAAAAATCATAATGCACAACTGATTTCTCCCATAATGATTTGGCCTCTTCTCTATTTGGAAAGCAGCAGTCCCCTGTATCGTGAGTTTAAAAGATCTTCAGTGCTTCTCATACATAGGTTTGGCAGATTAAGAAAATTTTGCTTCGACATCAACATCTTTGTTTGATTACAAAACTGCTGAGGTTAGGAGTAATTGCTGCTGAAGTGAAAGGAAAACAGTAACTCCACCTACCATTCCACTTGACTGTGGTGTTGGGAGGGGGTAAGGGAAGTTTGTAATAAGCATTGATCTCTTTCTAGAAAAAAAAATCCTTTACATTTATATGGAGCATCATGCTTCCCAAAGCATTTTCAATTACATTAATTTAATTTGATATGGAACAAGCATAGAAAACCTGAGATAATGCTTCAGAATGTAATAACAAAGGGAAACAAACACATCTGGGTCATCTTCGTCTTGGCTTTTACCACTCAACAGATTTTCCGTTCTGGTAATTGGAAGGTTAAATTCGGGACACCTTTATGGATTAGGCACCTGGCTTGGCACATTATAAATAGATTTTTTTTTAAAGTCCACATGTGATTCTTCATTTACCTCCTTCATTTTAAAAAAAAGAGTTCTGTTCCCTCTTAGTTTTATTGTGATTAAAGGACCAAGTACCATCATTTTGGTATCCATTATTAAATAATTATTAGCAATAGGTTCCATGATCTTACTTGCATTACAGAACAGGTAACAATAAAGCAGTGAGGTTATTACCATTTATAACAGACTAACATTAGCATGCTGAAGGCAGAAGAATAAGCTATTATCAGCAATTTTCACTGGCAAACCCAGTTTAAGTAGTTAGGTATCAAAGACTATTGTTAGATAATGAACTTGGCATCACTATTGGAAGACATTTTCCAATGCTAAGAATATTAAATATCTTACCTATATATAAATTGGATCTGAATTCCACATTGTGGTCTCTCACTGCCATATCTTGTGCTTCTAAGAGAATCTTAAACAAAGAAAAGACAGGCATTGATATGGCTGACCCTGAACTAAAACAGAATTAAATATCTCATTTCTTGTTATCACTACGACAGCTAATCACATGCCACTGTTTTATAGTTAATTTTTAAAAGAGAACATTAAATGATAACAGTACTGAGGGGAAGGGGGATGCACTGAGCTTTCTTCCCTCAGACAAGAACTGCAAATGCAGGCAACATGGCTCATCCTGCTAACTGTACAATGGGATATATGAGCTGTAAAAGAGGAAACAACAGGGCAGCCTGGGTGGCTCAGCAGTTTAGCTCCACCTTCAGCCCAGGGCGTGATCCTGTAGACCCGGGATGGAGTCCCATGTCGGGTTCCCTGCATGGAGCCTGCTTCTCCTTCTGCCTGCGTCTCTGCCTCTCTCTCTCCTCTCTGTGTATGCTCATGAATAAATAAATAAAATCTAAAAAAAAAAAAAAAAGAGAGAAAACAACACTAATAGTAATAGTACCCTTGATGATGAACATTATGTCTTTGAGTCAGAGACTCATTAAAAAGTTCAAGAGGCTTAAGAGCTAAATCTTACTGAAAAATTCTTAAACTTTGGATCCAAAATAACCATTAAACATCAAACAAGTAGAGAAAATCATACTCGAAAATTTGAATAATTATTAAATCTATTCTCTGTAGATATTTTGAATGAAGGTAACCTGCTCCAGAACACATTTTTAAAAACAGCACAATTGTCAAAATAACAGAAACCATGGAGAGCCTGGGTGCATCAGCTGGGTAGGAATAAACTCTCAATTTCAGCTCAGGTATTGATCCCAGGGTCATGAGATCAAGCCCCACATCAGGCTCCGTGCTCAGCAGAGTCTGCTTGGGATTCTGTCTCCCTCTTTCTATCTCTGCCCCTTCCCTTGCTTGCCCATGCACACACTCTCTCTCAAATAAATAAAATCTTTTAAGAAAAAAAAAAAACAGATCTTTCATTCATTTAAAGATAAAGAATACAATACAAAGTTGAGTACACAAAAGATACTTAGTAACTGCATTCTGAACTAAATTAAATATAGGCATTACAATGGAACCTCTTCAAGCCTGAACCCATCAATCTCAACTAGTGAACTACTAAACTAAAAAGATCTGGCTTTAAGGGAGAATTAACTGAAATATAGAAAATACTACTGATATCCCCAGATGTCCTCAACCCAGGACCCAGATGTCCTCAACCCAGCTTTTTGAAAAGGACATCATGTCTCCACATCAAGGAAGATAGGAAGTGTAGGGACATGGTTTAGGGGAGAAATGGATTTCAGGTGCTGCACAGGAAAGGGAAACCATGGTTGTAAATAAGAGTAAGGGAGGAGCACATGGAGGAATGAACAAGAATGTTTCCCCATAACCACTGGCTTGGAAAACAAGAGGTGCTGAATTTTGTGACTTCTTACAAGCCGTGGGGGGCTTAAAGCCTGGAGTTTTAATGGTCAGCAGGCATGGCATGACAGGGATAGACCCCACGGGGGGACTGCACTACTCTTGGAGAGAAGGCAGGCAAACATCCCAGGGGCAGGCATCATGGAAATAGTGATTGGAAGAGCACCTAGGGCCCATCGAAAGACGAATGGATAAAGAAGATGTGGTTTATGTATACAATGGAATATTACTCAGCCATTAGAAACGACAAATACCCACCATTTGCTTCAACGTGGATGGAACTGGAGGGTATAATGCTGAGTGAAGTAAGTCAATCGGAGAAGGACAAACAGTGTATGTTCTCATTCATTTGGGGAATATGAATAATAGTGAGAGGGAATATAAGGAAGGGAGAGGAAATGTGTGGGAAATATCAGAAAGAGAGACAGAACATAAAGACTTCTAACTCTGGGAAATGAACTAGGGGTGGTGGAGGGGGAGGAGGACGGGGGGTGGGGGTGAATGGGTGACGGGCACTAAGGGGGACACTGGTTGGGATGAGCACTGGGTGTTATTCTGTATGTTGGTAAATTGAACACAATAAAAATTAATTTATTAAAAAAAAAAAAAAGGAAGAGCACCTAGGACCTCCAGTGGGAAGATCATTCGCTCTTCTCCGAGCACTTCCTTGAGAAGCAGTGTTCATAGAGACCTCTGGAAACAAAGGAGATGGCTGGCACCATTTCCTTCCCTACCCCTCAGCATGAACTCAGAGACACCTGAGGGTTTGAAACAGCTCAGCACTAGCACTGGCTGCCTAATTTGCTTCCATCAAGCCCCAATCCGCTGTGCTCTGGTGGGACTGCCCCTCTCAGTCAAGCTTGCCTCAGACCCAGCCTGGCAGGCCCTTCCCCCAGAAGACCAGCACAAACCCCTGCCCACACCAGGTCTCCTGACCAGAGAGTTTTGCAGGGCCTTAGTTCCAGAAGAGGTGGTGACAGGTCTCATTTCACAAGCAGACCAGAGCATATCTAATTAGAACTTGCCACATTCAAGCAAGGGATGAAATATGGCCCACAAAAGAAAAGGAGAGGCTCTGCAGGTGACTCAAAGGACAGAACAGCCAGAACGCAACAGCAGAGTACACAAAGCACACAGACACTTCCTGAAGTACTAGGCCCTGGGCACTACATGTTCTCTTCTTTATAAGGTCAATACTTTCAGGAACAGGAGACATAATTGGCTTTTCTAACACAGAAGAAGGCAGAGACTTACAGAGACTTACATAGAATGCCAAGATGGAGGAATTTATTCCAAATAAAAGACCAAGATAAGGCCATGGACAGAGATCTAAACAAAACAGATATAAGTAACATGCCTGATGAAGAATTTAAAGCAATGATCATAAGGACACTCACTGCACCTCAGAAAAGAATGGAACACATCAGTGACAGCCTTAGCACAGAGATAGAAGAATTAAAAAAAAAAATCAGAGATGAAGAATGCAATAAAAGAGATTGGAAATAGGCCTGATCCAATCATGCTGGAAGAAGAAAAGGAACAAATTAGTGACCTAGAAGACAAAATAATGAAAAATAATGAACCTGAACAAAAGAGAGAAAGAGTAATTATGGAACACAAGAATTGAGTTAGGGAACTCAGTGACTCCATCAAACATAACAACATTCGTGTTATAGGAGTCCAAGAAGAGAGAGAAGAGGGGGAAGAAAATTTATTTCCAGAAACAATACCAGAAAACTTCCCTAATCTGGGGAAGGAAACAGACATCTAGACCCAGGAAGCACTGAGAACTCCCATCAAAATCAACAAAAGCAGGTCAACACCAACACATATTATATTTAAATTTGGAAAATATAGTGAAAAAGAAAAAATTTCAAAAGCAGCAAGACAAAAAAGTCCTTTACTTACAAGGAAAAACCCATAAGGCTAGCTGAGATTTCTCAACAGAAACTTGGCAAGTCAGAAGGGAATGACATGGTATGTTTATTGTGCTGCATAAGAAAAATCTGTAGCCAAGAATACCTATCCAGCAAGGCTATAATTCAAAATAGGAGAGGTAGAGTTTCGCAGACAAACAAAAACTAAAGGAATTCATGACCACTAAACCAGCCCTGCAGGAAATATTAAAGGGAACTCTTTGAGCACAAAGGAGAGATGAGAAGTGACAAAGACAAGAAAGGATCAGAGAAAATCTCCAGAAACAACAAAACAAGTAGTAAAATTACAATATATATCTATCAATAATTACTTTAAAAAAATAATTACTTTGAACGTGAATGGACTAAACACTCCGATCACAGACAGGTGTCAGAATGAACAAGAAAAAAAAAAACACCCATCTACATGCTGCCTTTATGAGACCCATTTTAGTCCTAAAGATATCTGCAGTTGAAAGTGAGAGGTGGAAAAACATTCATCACACAAATGAATCTCAAAAGAAAGCCATAGTAACAATACTTATATCAGGCAAACTGGACTTTAAAACAAAGACTGTAAAAAAAAAAGACAAGGGTATACAAGGTATTGTATATTGTATAATCATTAATGGGATAAGAAGCTATAACAACAAGAAGCTATAACAATTGTAATTATTTATGCACCCAACATGGGAGTACCCATATATACAAAACAATTAATAACTAACATAAAGGAACTAAAGGATAATATTACAGTAACAATAGGGGATTTTTTTAAAATTTTTATTTATTTATGATAGTCACAGAGAGAGAGAGAGGCAGAGACACAGGCAGAGGGAGAAGCAGGCTCCATGCACCGGGAGCCCGACGTGGGATTTGATCCTGGGTCTCCAGGATCGTGCCCTGGGCCAAAGGCAGGCGCTAAACCGCTGCACCACCCAGGGATCCCCAATAGGGGATTTTAAATCCCTCTTAACAATGGACAGATCATTTAAACTGAAAATCAACAAGGGAACAATGGCCTTGAATGACACACTAGATCAGATGGATTTAACAGACATATTCAGAAAACTACATCTTAAAGCACAGAATATATATTGTTTTCAAATACACATGGAACATTCTCCAGAATAGATCATATATTATGTCACAAAACATATCTCAACAAATACACTAAAACTGAAATCCCACCATGCACCTTTTCTAAAGACTATAACCACAAGAAAAAAATTTGGAAACACCACAAATACAGGGAGGCTAAACAACATGGCTCCTAAACAGTGAATGGGTCAACCAGGAAATCAAAGAAGAAATTTTTAAAAACAGGAAAGAAATGAAAACACAACAGTCCAAAACCTTTGGGATGCAGCAAAAGCAGTCTTAAGAGGGAAGTATATAGCAATATAGGCCTACCTCAAGGAAGAAAAAACTCAATAAACAATTTAACCTTATACCTAAAGGAGCTAGGAAAAGAACAAACAAAGCCTAGAGCCAACAGAAGGAAGGAAGTAAATAAGATTAGAGCAGAAATAAATGATATACAAACTTTAAAAACAATGGAACCGATCAAAGAAACCAGGAGCTGGCTCTCTGAAAAAATTAATAAAATTGATATACCAAAAAAAAAAAAAAAAATACCATGTGCCTAGAATTAAGTCAGCATGAGTACCAATTAGCACATTTGTATGTAGTGACTTAGCTACATTCAGAGCTAGAAGGGTCTTTAGAAATCATTTAATCCAATTCCATCCAGTTTACAAATAAGAAAAATGGTACCAGACAGGTTAAGTGTTTTACCCATCATCACAATAGAAACTGTCACAGAAAAGATTAGATTCTAAGTCTCCTGAATCCCAGGTAAGTGCTCTTTCCACTCGATTAGTTATAAAATCATAAGCTCTCAATTGTGGAATTGACCAAAAAAACAGCAGCCACCAAAAACAAACAAAAAAAAACCAAATCAATCTTCTAAAAAAATCATATCAAGTCCCAAATCATTAAAACAAAGATTTATCACTTCATAGACAAATAGTAAAAAAATGAATAAATGTCTGGTGCCAATAAAAGCATCTCCAGAGAAAAAATATACTTAAGACTATAACATTCCTAAGGTATACGGAGGACCTTAATAAAACTGAATGCCTTAAATCTGTACTATATGAACTATGTACTTACAGCAGGGAACTCAGGATTTAGGCTGAGCTTACTAACACCAGCAAAACAGCTATGCACTCCCTCCCTACAAATCTTAGTTTACCTCTTTAATTATTTGGGCCCCCTTTTTGTCACTGAATTCCAACTGAGCCAAAGCCTGGTCAATGGACATTCCTCGTATCTAGAATTAAAGGGTAACAGACAAGAGAAGATAAATTAGTTTACAAAGTCAATGTTCCCTTTTCAGTGAAAAGCAAAAGCCTTACATAATACAAATAACTTCTAAAAATAGCTAGCTAGTTATATGTCAATTACATCTCAATAAAACTGGGGGAGGGGCTCTGACTTAAAAAAATAAAAATAGCTAACGTAAGGCAGAGAAGAAAACAAGTTTGAAAACAGATGCCACCCTCTTTAAGTCAAAATCAAACTTAAATGTTTTAACCATAAAACTGAGAACCGAGATTATAAATGTTTTAGTAATATTGAGAGCAGACATGAGAGAACACAGGGTGGCGAGCATCACACTAGGTATGAAAGACTATCTTTTTTGCAGGATAAGTGTATTATATGTTTATATCTGGGGCTTTGTCTTCTCTCATATATAAATTTCATTCTCCTGGGGAAAATCTTAAAAAGCAATGGTTTTGAAATTTGAATCAACTTTATTTTTTTGAATCAACTTTTAAGATAAATAAGCTTGTTTCCTACATTCTCTCAGAGTACAGATTCCTGATGCCTTTGTTCTTAATATCCATGTATCCAATGTGATTTAGTTCCTCAGAAAAAAGGTAAAAATTAAGCAGAATCACTCATTTCTGAGCAAATCATTCGTGGATTACCTAACAACTGTCTGAAACTGTAATTATACTCCTCACTTTCTGGAAAAATCAGGGTGATTTTTTTTCAATTTTTCAAATTGCAGAGTAGAATTCAAATTGTGGGGGAAATTTCAAATACTTCTTTTCCTAAGTATTATATGGTAATGTCATTTTAGCTTACCAATTTTGCCAAATACCACATCTTGTCTTTGCTGTATTTTATTTGCCTTCGACAATGGTAGATTTCCTTACAAATAGGGAAAAGGAAAAACAAGTTAGCAAATTGATCAAAATAATAACATACACTGTTAATAAAGCTTTAACTTTTTATGCCTAATGAAAATGTTGCCACAAGAAACAATGACATTATTAAGAATTTGGAGATTTTTTTTCTCTACATACACTAAGTTGTATTTTTCCAGTCTCACTATGTTAAAAAGATCATTAAGACAGTAATAGAAACTACGAATGGCCACATCGTGCCAATATTTGTAACATTTCTATCCAAAGGAATAGTAAAAGATCTAAATGAAAACATTTAGCTGGCTAAAGAAACAAACGAAAAGGTACAATGAGAAAAAAAAAAGTTTCCTGTTATTGGAGAGAATAAGAGAATAGGGTGAAATGGACAAAATAACAGATTTCACAGGATATTCTAAGTGTCTGGTCAAGAGCAAGAGCACAGGTCCTAGACTCAGACTGCCTGGGTCTGAATTCTAGTTCTACTCTCTACAAGCTACAGAACCCAAGCTCTTTTACCTCTCTGCCCAAGCTTCCTCTTTTTTTAAATGAAGATAATAGTACCAGCCTCATAAAAATATAGTAAGAATTAAAGAAAATAATCTATGCAAAGAAAGCATTTTGCAGTGCCTAGTACCTGGTAAGATCTTAGTAAATATCAGTTTTTATTATCTTCTCTTTAGAGTAGTAAATATATCCCATTTAAATGTTTAATCAATCATCCATTACATAATTTACAGTTCACAAAGTACTTTCTAAACCCATTATTTCATTTGACCTAACTCTATGAGTTGGGAGAAAAAACACTTTACAATCCTTTTACAGGGGTGCCTGGATGGCTCAGGTGGTAAAGCATCATACTCTTGGTTTTGGCTCTGATCATGATCTCAGGATCATGGGATTGAGCCCTGAATTGAGCTCCCTGCTCAGTGTGGAGTCTGCTTGAGATTCTCTCTCTCTCCCTGCTCCCCCCTCCGACTCACTCACTCTCTTTCTCTCAAATAAATAAATCTTTTTAAAAAGAATAATCCTTTCCCTGGTAAAAACCAGGAAAAAAAAAATCAGACAAATCAAGTGACTTAGCCAAGATTGCAAAGCTTGTGAGAGACAAAGCTGGAAGTCAAAGTGCCATACCGGGAAGTATATGAAGTGTCTAACACAATGTCTGGTAAGTGTATCTTTAAAGTTCCCCTATGACTGTAAAACCCAACTTCTTTCCACTACTACACCATATTGCTCCTTTAAAATAATTAGAAAACATTTGTCAAGGCAAACAATAGCAAGGGAGACTTCAGAACTTCCTAACATTCTGACTTCTGCTGGAAATTTTCAAATGCCTGAGAAACAGCAGAGTTTTCCCAAGGGGCCATCTTTTAATATGTAGCAGATTTCATTTCAGTTCCAATAGAAGCTGACAGACTGAAAACTGTAGCAATAGCCTAATTACGTTTTCAGCAATAAAGTGTCCAGGGGAGCACTGAAGAGGAAAGAAGAACCGTCATGACTGATAATATTCATCTGTGAAAATTAGTACACTCAGTAAAATCTTTTGTGTAAGAAACCCTTCAATTCTTGGTTTCTCATGGTGGGCTATCTCCAAACCTGAACTGTATATGATTATCTTCAAATTTTGTAAGAAAGATATTGTACTCCTGGCAAGAGCATGGGGAAAAAAGGAATCAAGTATTTAACAAAAAAGAAAAGTTATTCAATCATTTTCTTTTAAAACAAAAAGCTCAACATTTCCTTTAGGCAGGTGCAATGTCTAAACACAAGCCAGACAAACCTATCATTGCAAATAGATAAAGTGGCAAAGAGAGATCAGAGGGCTCAGTTAAATGTCACTATTAATCAACCTATACAGTAAATTAGATAAAGTTAGGATACAATGTGCAAGATAGTTATTCAAATAAAATGAAAGTAAGCCTAAGTTGCAAAATGTCTAAACCACTAACTTCCAAAGAAACTAATTTATTTTGCATATAACTAAACGATAAAAAAATTGTCTGGGATCCGTGGATGGCTCAGTGGCTTAGCACTTGCCTTTGGCCCAGGATCGATTCCAGCATCAGGCTCCCTGCCTTGAGCCTGCTTCTCCCTCTGCCTGTGTCCCTGCCACTCTCTGTGTCTTTCATGAATAAATAAATAAAATCGTTAAAAAAAAAAAATTATGACCAAATGGGGCACATGGGTGGCTCTGTCAATTAAGCATCCAACCCTTGATTTTGTCTCAAGTCATTATCTCAGGGTCATTGAAATGGAGTCCTGCACTGGGCTCTGTGCTGGGCATAGAGCCTGCTTGAGATTCTCTCTCTCCTTTTCTCTCTGCCCCTCTCCCCTAATTTTCCTCCCCATCCACGCACACTCACTCAAAAAAAAAAAAAAAAAAAAAAAAAAAAAGAAGTGTTGCCTAATAAAAGTCCAAACTAGAGCTTTCCAGGATGCACATAATGATTTATAAGTATGACTTATCAGTATGTCAATTAATCCATAAATTAAAAACATGCCTCCTATAGAAATGGTTGTTCAAATAGTTTTAATATAGTGTCACTATATTTTTAGTTTATTTAATATAGCTTTCTTCACAGATAGTGCAAAAGTAAACTCAAGCCCAAATTAACAAGGCCTATTATGAAGAAAATCATTTAATTTTTTTCTGGCTCATTTTCTTTACCCTGATGTAGCCACAAGTAAGATAAAGTCTACAGGAGTCTATGCTATTTGGAAATTGATGTTAGCTAAATTAGAAAAAGTCTTAAAAATAATAGGAATGGCCTAAATGTGCCTAAATTGGTGACATGCATTTTAATTTACTGCTATAGGATTTATTCACTACTGATCCACTATTATTTAACTTCATATTTCAGGGACGCCTGGGTGGCTCAGCGCTTGAGCACCTGCCCCTGGCTCAGGGCATGATCCGTGGTCTCAGGATCGAGTCCCACATAGGGCTCCCTGCATGGAGCCTGCTTCTCCTTCTGCCTGCGTCTCTGCCTTTCTCTGTGTCTTTCATGAATAAATAAAGATTAAAAAAAAAAAAACTTCATATTTCAATGCTGAATATCAGAATGAGTTAGAACAGTAAATATTATTTGACTCCCTTTTATTTTTTTTCTAATATTTTATTTATCTGTTTATTTGAGAGACAGAGTGCACGAGAGAAAGCAAGTATGAGGCTGGGGAGGTAGGAGGGACAGAGGAAGAGAGACTGTTAGGCTGACTCTGACACAAGGCTTGATCTCACATCCCTGAGATCATGACCTGAGCCAAAACCAAGAGTTGGACGCCTAACTGACTGAGCCACCCAGGTGTCCCTATCTGACCTCCTTTTAAATTAGGGATAAAACTAGTTTTTAAAATGTTTGCAGTTAGCAGATTGGCAAGTACAAGGTCACACTGCTGCACATAATGACAGTATAAGAACTATGTGGCTAGGTATGCAAACTACTCCATTATTAAGCTAGGTATTTAATGAAGGACATTAATATTTCACTCATAACAGGTACAAACGCACCACTGTCAATTTACTAAATACTATTTAGAGTCAGAAAATGTTATTTTCTAAAAGTCATAATTTGTTCCCAAGAGGATTACTCAAACAAAATCTGTGATCTACTTGTTAACTACTTGAATTTTGCCATTTGGGATATATCTTAAAGTGCATTTAGTTTGATGCCAAAAAGACTAGTACCATGAAATACAAATTTTTTCTTTTAGATTCTGGACCTGACAAATGTCATGATGTCTTTCTCAATTAACATCTAGGTTCGGGGTAGCCCAAGTGGCTCAGCAGTTTAGTGCTGCCTTCAGCCCAGGGCGTGATCCTGGAGACCTGGGTCAGTCCACATGGCTCCCTGCATGGATCCTGCTTTTCCCTCTGCCTGTGTGTCTGCCTCTCTCTCTCTCTGTCTCTCATGAATAAATAAAATCTTAAAAAAAAAAAATCTAAATTCAAAGAGCTCAAGTTAAGAAAGCTCATTAATAATAGGAAATTTTTTTATTTATGATATTCATAAAAATATGTCACTCCTCCTAAACATTATTAATTATAAAATTAGCACAGATTCTGCCACAAATCTAACTTTTAAGTTCTGATGGTAAGATAAAATATGGAAGTTAGAAAGTTATACACTTGAACTATTAGCATCTTTTTCTCTTTTATTCCCCAAAGAAGTAGGAGTTCTCTAAATCAACAAATTAACTCCTCTAAGAAAAAAAGAAAACATAAAACTGTACTAACTCAGACCAATACTTGGCAACTGAATCCTAATGAAAGGCAAGCTGTCAAATTCCTATAAAAATTAAGCAAATAACATTACTTAGATGAAACTGATTATACAGTAGCCTTAAATCCCAAAGGCCTTTAAAAGATGTTTTCTAAACTGAATGACTTATAATTAACACTACTGATTCTATTAACAATATTTATTAATTAATAATTAATTCTATTTCTAAGCACTTCCCACAGTTTATTTTCTTAAGGATTTAAATGCTACCATCTTGTTTATGCCGTCATTACTTGTCTAAGCTTTGTGACAGATACCTATGTATTCCACAGCAAATTCCCATTAAGCTGGAAATTAGTCTTGTATCTCAGGCTAGAACTCTCACAAGCAGTTTGGAGAAAAAAAGAATTCCGAGCAGCTAAAGATGAGATAAAATTCAGTATCTCTGAAAGCAATCCAATGATTAAATTCAAACCTTAGTTCAAAGCTTTGTGGATTACAAACACAAAAAAATCACAACTAAGTGTGTCTATGTTCAAATTTAAAATGTTGGCAAACCACACATATGATTTAAATATGGTTAACAGTTTAAGTCATTCCTGCCAACCCCTCATGCTTCACTACCAAGAATGCATTAGCAAGCCTCTTAAGAGTCAAAAATCTGTCAGGATATCTCAAGTTATTAGCTTAGTTTTAGAGTTAAAGCTCCCAACAGAAGGCTAGGTCAAGGCAAACAAGTAAGTAAAACAGACAATCTTTTAAAACTACTAAGAAGCGTGACAGGCAATGAGGAGGGCACTTGATGGGATGAGCACTGGATGTTATACTGTATGTTGGCAAACTGAACTTAAATTTCAAAAATGTAAAACAAAAACAAACAAAAAAAAAACCCTATCCACAACAAAAATAAATAAATAAAAATAAAACTACCAAGAAGATAAATGTAGAACAACTTCTGTATCAATCAAATGATCACACAAATTGAGGTATACTTTTTCCCTTCCTTCACATGGAACAGTAAATCAATGCTAGTCATGTAAGAGTAAAAGCTCTTTATCAAAACTAGGAGATTCTTTCTTTAAAAAAAAAAAAAATATTTGAGAGAGAGCACTCGTGCATGAGTGGGGAGGAGCAGAGGGAGAAAGAATATGAAGCAGACTCTGCACAGAGTGCAGAGTCCAATGCAGGGCTCATTCCCATGACCACAAAATCATGACTTGAGCCAAAACCAAAGTTAGATGCTCAACCAACTGAGCCACCCAGGTGCCCCAAGAGATTATTTCTACCCACAAACTTACTGCTGGTCTCCGAGGTTCTCCAGGCAACTGTGGAGGATAAACAATTTTATTCTTCTTTTCCCATTTTCGAGAAATGTCCAGAGACCCACTCATGTGGATATATGACTGGGGTAAAACATTGTGAGATGAGAGAAGCCTATAAAACAAAAAACACTTAGAATTTTTTCCAGAGCTTATGTATCTCCTGAACCACATCAGCTCTATTTTGATCAAAATTATTTAAGGATTGCAAGTGTAAAGAGTCTAGATGTATTCATTAATAGAGAACAATTTTACATAAAATACCACAAAAAGCTAGTTCACTGTAAAATAAGAGTAAAAAGTTGATAACTAGCATAATCAAATAATAAACAGTAATTAACTCAAGATCTCTTGCCCTGACTGGCCAAAAAATACTAACTCTCTAATAGAAGTCAGCTTAGTCCTAAAATAGACTTAAAGACACAATGGATCCCTGACCTGACCTGTACAATTCCTCAATTTTGGTAAGTAGGCAAGACATATCACAATATTTTGTAATCCCTAAGAAATTAATGGATAAAGGTGGCATTATTTGCCTCCTGAGGAAAGAACTCACTACCCACCGTCCATGAAGTAGTCTCTCTACAAAAAACAAACCTGAATTAATTAAGTTTCTAGATTCAATACAGGAAATACAGAGACAGGGGAACTGTTTAGCAATAGGAGATGGATGTGCTCAGCAAAATTCAAGCTGTACAAATTCTTTTCTTTTTTTAATTTTTTTTTTTTTATTTATGATAGTCACACAGAGAGAGAGAGAGAGAGAGAGGCAGAGACACAGGCAGAAGGAGAAGCAGGCCCCATGCACCGGGAGCCCGACGTGGGATTCGATCCTGGGTCTCCAGGATCGCGCGCTGGGCCAAAGGCAGGCGCCAAACCGCTGCGCCACCCAGGGATCCCACAAGCCGTACAAATTCTGCAAGACAAACAGCCCACTTTCTTCAATAAACTACAACGGGAAAAAGAAAAAGCTAAATAAAGAACCTACTGATTAAGACTTAAGAGAAATATCGATTAGTTTCAATATGTAGATTATTGTAATTTTAAAAGTACAACAGTTATTTAACCATTGGAAATTTGAACATTAACTGGATATTGGTTACTTCTTAATGAGTTATATAGTGAAATATTTACTGATTAAATAGTATGCTATACGGGATTTGTTTCAAAATATGATAGAGTAGGGGCCACAGATAAAACAAGACTAGCCATGAGTTATTGTTGAAGTTGGGTTCATGAGGGTTCATCATATTATCTACTTTTTTTATATCTAGGTATATCCAAATAACACACAAACTTGATGTTTCCCTGCTATACAGAATATAAAGTCTAAACTCCTAGGAAGACACAAAAGGCCTTTTATAATCTAACTTGAAACTGGCCATCTTGGCTCATCTAACCTTATGGCCAGGCCACAGAGACATTCATTGTTCCCTGAACAAACCATATATTTTCAGATCTTTATACTTTTGATTATATTGTTTCTTCCTTAATCATTGTCTCCTGAATGAAACACTTATCCTGTTTTAAGCTCTAGCTCAAATTTCACCTCAATGCAAGGCATCACTCGATCCCTTCTCCCAGACAACCACTCTCTCCACTATCTTTGTACTCTGTTCTTGCCAGCCATGGAGCAGTGAGTTGGGACTATGGTACTGTAAGGTGGCTATAGAATGAGTTCCTGTAGTAAGTGTATAGATTTGAGCCTTCTGAGGGCAAGCATAACATCCTCTGTATTCCAGCACTAAGGACAATATCTGGCACATGGATACAGAGTAAATATTTAACCTAGACTTAAATATTCAAAGTTGTTGTAAATTGGCAGATGTTCACACAATTTATGCAACTGGATAATACATTTAGCAAGGCCTTTGTTTTTAATTTTAAAACCATTTAGACTAAAGGATTTTATTTTATTTTTTTCATGTTTAACAATCTTTAATTCAAATGTGAAAGTTCAGTACAAGCCATTTGTAGGGCTTGGGACTTGTTCTTTTAAAAACAAGAATGGGGGAATGCAACAGAATGATCTTTCCACTTTTCTTCAGAAACTTTCAAAGAAAGGATAGATCATAGGGCCATAAAGATCCATTGAGTCATACCCACTTTCTCCCCTATCAATAGTCTTTCACCCATTCCATAATCTTAATACACATTCTGGCCTCCTGAACCATAGGGATCTCCCATGTTCATTGCTCCTCCACCACCCATTCTCATTATCTCTTTCTCTTGGATCCATGTAGCCCATCTGGCTATAACTTTCGTCTCTTTGGCGTCTCATTTGTTCTTCCATCTCACGCTGCCAAATCATCATCTCTTCTTCCCTTCTACGCCGTTCTTCTTCTTGCCTTAGTTGCATTTCTTTATGTTTCTGCATTTCTTGATTGTGAAGTTTTTCCAAGTGTCTTAATTCTTCCTGGCGTCTCATCAGATCTTGACGCAAAAGATGTGCCTGATGCTCATGATAGGCATCTTCCATTTCATTTTCCAATTTGTCTTTCGCATCTTTCATGTTTTTTTCAACTTGTTCCCTTTGCTGTTTTTCCATTTCATCCAGGGACTTCCATCGCTGAGAATATTCATACTCAAATGTGCCATGCTGGGCAAAACGAGGAGGCGTTTCTCTCTCCTTTTGATACATTGGATTCTTCTGTGCAAGTCTTTGAGGAAGGCCATCTTCATCATCTAATTGTTCAAGAGGTTCCACAATGACTGGACGAGGCGTTGTTGTCAGTAAGGAAACACCTTCGCTGCATCTTTCAAATGCTTTTCTTGCGGCTGGTTTAGAAGCAAATCTCCCACGATCATCCACGATTACAACAGCCCTCTCAATAGGCCCAAATTGGCTAAAGGCTTCTTCCAGCAGTTCACTGGAACAGGCAGCAGCACGTGTGGCAAAGCGAACCCGAAGCTGCCTACCCCTCATGGGTGTATCACCGGGTTCAGCTTTGGCAATTTCAGCCAGTGCCCTAGATTCAAGTTCAATAAGCCCGAATCCTTTGCCTTTGCTGATAAAACTTCTCCTGGTTCTCCGTATTTAGCACAGAGTCTTTTGAATTCATCCTCCATGATGTCAGCAGGTAGTTTCCCGACAAACAACCGGCAGCGCGGCGTGTAGGTTTTCTCTCCGGGCCTCCTCAGGAGGGACAAGCGGGCTTTGAACCCCTCCGAGGCGGAGATCTCCTCCTCGCTGCGGCCGCCGCCGCCGGGGCGGGGGCCCTGGTGGTGCTGCTGGTGGCAGGGCGGGTGGTGCTGCCGCCCTCCGCCCCCCCGCCCCCCCCGCCCCGTGTGGCTGCTTGGGGTGGCCGCCGGGGGTACTCAGGCCCGGGCCACCGCCGGGTTTCGGCCCGCCCTGCATTTTGCGGCCTTTCGGGCCTCCGGGGCCTGGGCCCCCCGCGGGCGGAGGCGGCGGGCCCCCGGCCTGGGGCGGGGTGGTGGGGACCCCGCTGCTCGGCGGCGCGGGCGGGGGCGCCCCAGGCGGCGCCGAGGTGACTGCGGGCGGCGGGGTCGGGGTGGGGCCCGGGCCGCAGGGGCCCCCGAGGTCGGAGGAGTTGCGGGCGCTGCTGAGCCAGAGGCGGGGGCGCGCCGCCCACTCCCGGCGCCGGGCCAGGCCCGGCCCCGAGGACCCACAGGCTTGGACGAGTCCTGCGGCGGCGGCGGCTGCTGATGCGGCGGCGGCTGCTGCTGGTGCTGGTGCGGAGGTGGTGGCGGGATCGGGGGTTTGGAGCCGCCCTGGCCCGGGCCGGGCCCCATGGGTCCCCGGTTCTGATTGAGGCCCATGCCGGGCGGCGGGGAGCGGAAGTCGTGGAGGCCACCGCGGCCGCCGCCGCGGCTCCGGAACCGGTCCCGAGACATGTCCGTGATCAAGGGGCGGTCGAGGCAGAAGCGGAGAAGACGCTCGGGGAACGTGGGGGCCACCTTGCTTCGCACAAGACGGCGGATGACACAGGCCTAGACTAAAGGATTTTAAAAATCTGTTCTCCTACTGGCTCGTTTCTCTTACTCTACCTCAAGTTCACCACTTTATATCCCGATATTAAGATCAGTACCACCAAAATACTTGACAGAATCTTTGCCATCCACGCTTAGGTTCCACTATTTTAACTGAAAAGCACAAGACTAGGATACATGATGTTGGAGGGCAGACTTTCCATTAAAAAAAAATGTAAGCTAAGTGATGAGGGCAGAGATTATGGAGTCAAGTAACCCTGAGTCTAATCTTTTTTTTTTTTTGATTTTTTTTTATTTTTATTTATGATAGTCACACAGAGAGAGGGAGAGAGGCAGAGACACAGGCAGAGGGAGAAGCAGGCTCCATGCACCGGGAGCCTGACGTGGGATTCGATCCCGGGTCTCCAGGATCGCCCCCTGGGCCAAAGGCAGGCGCCAAACCGCCGCGCCACCCAGGGATCCCCCTGAGTCTAATCTTAATTCTAATACAACGTAAATGGCCTTGGGGACACCACATAACTTTCCAGAGTTCAGTTTTCTCATTGGTAAATGGAGTAATAACCATAATTACCTCATAGGCTTCTTAAAGAACTCAAATAAGATACTTTAAGTAAAATATTTAACCTGACACTTAAAAAGGCTCAATAAAATTGATGTTATTACTTTTAGAATAATACCCACTTCATTCTGTTAATGGTGGATAAATATTTAATGTACTGCCCCTTATGATGTCTAGCACATGATAAACACTGATGGCTAGTATTAATTTTAAATCAGGCCCTCTCAACAGTTCATCTCTCCTATTCTCCAAAAAACTGAACACTGTGAACTATAAACTTTATATTACGCAATTTCAAACCTTCTCCTCATATTTGCAATTATGATCATTTGCCTCTCTCCTGCTGTAATTCATAGGCACACTAAGTTCATCAACTCTTTGGGCCTCCATTTTTTTATGAAAACAGGAATTGGAGTACATTATCTGTAGGGGCTTTCTGAACTTTAATTATATCCCGAATCTCATTGTTGACATAGGATTACAGAAACACAAACCCCTTGGCTTCTATTTAATTCTTCAATGAAACCACTGTTAACAGAGTTGAAGCCCCCAGGAGTCCGATTCCAGCAGCACAGGGCCCCGGATCCCAGGGCGCCCAAGCCCAA